GCCGATCCCAAGAGGCCCAAATCTCTCACTTCTTCTTTTTCATCTCATTTTATTCCGTCATGCGCTGTTTCCACGTTCATGAGGCGTCCATGAGTAGATGAGTAGATGAGTAGAGCGTGAGTAAAACGTGAGTAAAGAGGAATTCATGAAGAAATGGGGATATGAGATGAGGTTTGATGGGAGTGACTGGGTCTGTTGCATCTCGTTTTATTTACGTTTTCATTTTGAACATCAAAAGGTTATCTTAATCGTATTTTTGTGACTGATTTTGTGTCTTCTCTATTGGGTTATGTGGTGTTGATTTGGTTCGTTACATATAAGAGGCCTGTCACTTAGATTTTCAGTATATAGGCTTAAGATTAGACAATTCAGTGACATGACCTTTAAAACATGTCAGTTTTTATGTCATGATTTTGGTGATATTTGGTAATTAATCCGATTGTAGAAGTACTAACAATTTCTATTTTCGAGTTGTTTCGGTAACTTGACATCAGTGCAGAAATGAGTGTCAGAAGTTATTGCGAATTATGATTAAAACCAGAGACAATGCAGCTGTTGGTATCTTGCATTTCTGCAATGTGTAGTTGATAGATGTGAAAAGAATTTGAGTTAAATACATCGAAAATGTTAGATATTGTATTCAGAATGGAACTTATCATAATCATTGGCCGTGTTCTGTGCACATCCACACATAAGTCGATCTAAACAACGATGGATTTCCTGGAACGTGAAGTCAAGCCTAGTAGTGGCAAGTTGTCAGGCGATCACTGCTGCCTCCATACCTCTAGTACTTTGGTCAAGGACTGCAAATTTCCAGCACTTAAAATTGGCAAAACACAGCTTAGACTGATTTAAAAAAATATTTAAATAGATATCTAGCAAGGTTTGTAAACTCTGCCGAGCCAGAATATACATGATAAAGTTTTACTGGTGTTTGCTAGAGTGCTGGAGGTGTGGAGACCAGGAGAGACTGCTTGGGTGAATTATAAAGATTACAACTGCATCAGTATTTGTATATTTGGGCTGTATTTGGAAGTCACTTGGGCTGTATCACCTTTGCACAGTTTATTTTTTTCATTTTTTTTTTTGTAGTCAGGGTTTTGAGATAAATCAACTTTATGCAAATAATAAAAATTGAAGCTTTTTATGGATATGTTGGCTTATCAAAGCAGAAGCATTGAGGTAGATTGTCTAAAAATCTGATCATCGTAAAGAATAACAGTAAATTGTAAAACAATTACTACGGCCTCAGACACTTGGGCAAATGGAGCTTGGCTTATTCCTTACTGAAGGCAAATTATCTTATTCCTCTTCTTTTCATTATTATTATTGTTGTTATTATTATTATTATTATTATTATTATTATTATTATTATTATTATTATTATTATTATTATTATTATTATTATTATTATTATTATTATTATTATTATTATTATTATTATTATTATTATTATTAATGTTATTGTTATCATTATTAATTCTGTGCGTTGATTTCAGTACAAGCAAGACGAGGATGTCTTGGATATTTCTGACTGATTGTTCAGGCTGTCGGCCCATACTCATTTTACGAGATATTGATTTTAGAATGATAGATAAATCTGTTCGTATATATCTGTTTTATTTAAAAAATATATTATAAGAGCATTTAATACACTTTATTTTAGTTATAAAAATATGAATGTTATGAATATGCCCCCCCCACCCCTCCTCAAGAACAGGCAATTTTGTTTCTTTGTTAATATATACATGAATGTGGTTTTATTTATTTTTTTAATTTGTAGCTTTGTTATTTTTGCAGGCAATTTGTAAATCTTTCAATCAGCTTTGTGGTTTACTGTTAAATGTCATTGTTGTCATCAAACTGAGGCACTACATAGAAGTCAATTTGTCTATTCTTGGAATGTATAAACTAGTTTGAGTATCTATCTGAAAGCATACAATAGGCTAACATTAAACCACTCACTATTGAAACAAAAATGCCTCAAGAAGGGATGATGCACTATTTTTTTTTAAGTTTTATTAATAGACAGAATTGCCTTTAATAGCCTTACAGATTACTCTTCTTTATGAATTGCCTTACAACCAAAGCTTCATTTATTTGTACAAGAAATACAACACTTTTTGAAGACCTGCTTATTTTCACTATTATAATTCTTAATGGTAACTACTTTTTACAAAGATGTTTTTTTTGTATTTCAGGTCAGTTTTAGGAGTGGAGCAGCAGTTGTCTCCATTTGTGATATTTATGTTGTAGTGATGGAGTGTCAAGAATCTCAGGTTACAAAATCCCAGGCAGCCATGGACGCTGGTGATGGTGATACTCATGCAGGTGATGGAGAAGAAACAAGGCACCTGAATAAAGCAGAACAATACACAGATGCAGATAAGGAACAGTCCTCTAGTACAGTCATAAATGCAGATAAGGAGAGAGACTCTGATACAGTCACTGCAGAAGGAGAACAAGGGAAGCCATGTGATGCTGGAAGTATGAGAGAAGATAGTGAACAGGTTAATTCCAAAATTGTGCATGGCATTCCTTCTGATGGAGAGGTAGTCAAAGAAGAACCAATGTCTCCTGAACATCAGAAAGGAGACACTAGGGATGCAGAAGAAAGTGGCACTGAAAAACAAACAGTGAAAATTAATGAGAATGAAGAAATTGAGAGAAGGGAAGATGCTGCAAATAAGGAGCATGAGTTGCCTGTTCAACAAGAAGGCACAGAGGAAGCAAGTGACCAGGCACAGGAATTGGTGGGAGACGATGAAGCCAGTGAAGACACACACATGTACAAGTTAGGCAAGATCTGTCGAATCTGTGCAGAAATGACAGTTGTGTTTGATGGGCCCAAGAAGGGGGTTCCAAAGCATGAAATTGTTAAACACGTTCGAAAAGTATGGAATGTGGACCTCTCTGATGAGGATCCAGACATTTACCCAGTTAATGTGTGTCAGTATTGTGAGAGGAAAATCAAACGCCTATACCTCAAAGTGTCAAAGAAAAAGAAATGTGAGTTCTACAGGGACAAACCTGCAGACTTTGTTGCACACACTGCCCAGAACTGTAGTGTGTGCTTGTTGAAAGATGATCAGCCTGACAGTCCTTGCAATCCAGCAGCTGAAGAGGCTCAGCAGGTTGGGACAGTGGAGGCAAGGGTAGGGTCCCAGGGAGAAGGAAGCCAGGCCAATAAAATTATTCTGCCATCCACAGAACCAAGAAGAAACCCTGCTCGAAAACGTGGATGGACAGACCATGAAGCAGAAACACCACAGTTTGTTTCAGTTGGATGTCAGACAGAAGAAGACGGGACATCAGAGAACATGACTGGCTTAGAAGAACATGATTATACTCAGGATGAGGCTCTCAGTCAATTTCTCGTTATACCAAAGAAGTTTGGGGGAAGAACCCCATACCACAAGTTATCTCTAACTGCTGTTAATGCCAAATACATCAGACAGGACCGACTGAAGCCTCTGATAGCACACATAGATAAGTTTTGCCAAGTGCAGAAGGAAAATAAAATTGATGCCATGTTCTTCCTCTTGATGGAAGCCCTGAGAGATGCGGGAGACCGAGTGAGAGAGACGCAAGTTGAAGACATTTGGTGCCGGAAGAATAATGTTGGAATGTCTCTCACTGATGAGGAGTGTCTTGCCAAGCGGATCTTGCTCAAACAGACCAAAGACCAGTATAGGAAGGAATATAGTTACTACAAAGAAAAGCTGGAGAAAGCAGTACTGAAACCTCCTTTTATCATTGACAAATTGGAGAAGACTTACTTCCCAGAGTATCTTGAGTTCTTTGTGACCGAGGGGGAGACGGGACCGATCATATACCAGCATGAGAAGCGCTCCCACCCATCGTACTTTGCCATCAGTGGTTCAGCAGAGAGCAACAGCAAGCTGGACAGTAACTATGCAGGTGTTGTAGGGGCTCGCTGGCACTACTTTGATGCTGTTGCCAAAACACTTGAGGAGCTTGCGCACTCCCTCGAAAATGAAATTCATGAACTGGATGATGATTCCTGTATTCAAGTAGACTTGCTTGATTACTGTGAAGAGAAGAGAGACCTCACCAATTTTGGGGACAAGAATGATTCAGCAGCAACAGGCAGATGTAGTCAGAGCAAGATGATGACTTATTTCTTTGGCATTCAGACGATGCAGGCAATTATTGACAATAAGATCCACTATATATACAAATCCAATCCCAACAATGTCCAGTTCCGCCCGCTTATGAAGGCTCTGGTTGCTGAGGGGAACACACTACGGCCCACAATACGCAGCATTGAAGAGGAGAGAGCAACCATGAGTGAAAAAGTCTTCTACATCACACTGCCTGGAGGCACTCCTCTGCGCTTTATGGTTTATTTTGCCAATGCTACACTTGAGATTCGCAAGGACTATAGGTTGGTATAATGTATTATTTTATTTTTAGAGGAAAAATTTCAATTTTGAAAGTCTTTTAATTAATTTCATATGGATTATAATAAAATTGAGCTTTCTTCAGAATGAATTAACTTGCCTCTTAATATTTCCAGGAACATTAGTGGCCTTACCTTGTCATCGTTCAAAAAAGTTCCAGCTGTAATTAATCGCTACGGCAACATCTGTCTGGAGCTGAAACGGAGCTGGCTGGCCACAAGCCCGCGCTTAATCCATGTTGGCCGCGTGACTAATTGTCGGACCAAATGCAGCCGTTGTGGAGAACAGGGCCATAATGTTCGGAAGTAAGTATAAGCCAAGTTCACTCTGGCAAAAGTTGCAGTAATACTCATTCATACATATTAATAGCAGGTGTGTTTGTAATTCAAGTTTTTGTGCTATGTCTCTGTTGATATAAAAATGTATTTTAATGATTACTAAATGCAGTCCAATTGAGAATAATAATTCCATCGTGCAAGAGTAATTATTTGCTAGTTGGTTGTACAGTTATTTAGATTTTATGAACATAGAGTGATTCATCAAGGAAAATGTTTAATTTTCATTCAGATGTGATTTTATCTTGAAAAAGGACTATTGCATTTTGAAAACTAGTTACTGTTTTTATTAATGTAATTTTTTATTCATTGATATTTTGTTAAAGCAAGCAAGCAAGAAATAAAGGAATATATTTGCATAGCTACAAACATAAACTTCAGTATACGTTTGATACTCTTGAATGAGAATTAGTGTAAGACAGCTTGCCAAGATTATTCATCTCAGATACCAACTTCGATTTTCTTTCTCTCTTGCGGGTAAATTTTCTCAAGCTATGGAAACCAACCAAGTATCATTAACCTTTCTCAACAGGTGTACAGTTAAATCCGAGAATGTGTCGGGAGACTCGGTCATCCATCATAGAAAGAGGAAAAAACAGCGTTCAGTCCCTGCCCATTCGTACCCAGTGGCTCTCACCCAAAACACTTACTCTCAGGTATGAGTCTTTCTGCAAGCATTATTTTTTATTAATTCTTGTATTTGCTCTTTTAGTTTGTGGTAGTTTTAGTGTCATTACTTTGATGATGATAAAAATGATGTTTTATGTAATATTTTTCTTGCTACTGTTACTTTTGCTATATAAGTATCAGTATTTGTATTGTAACTATTATTAGCATTATTAGTTTTATCTTTATTATTTTTCTGTTGTTTCATTTAATTTAATTTCAGGTATATGTGAAAGACTCCAAGATAGTGGATCTATGCAATCCACATCCCCATCCACAGCAACCTCAGCAACATCAAGAGCCAGAGGAGCAGGACCCCCTCTCGCAGCTCACTACAGTGGCCAACCCAATGGACCAGGGCAATGCTGTAATCCGCAGTGATGAACAGATCCTGTGGACTTGCCCCAGCATAGGAGGAGGCAGCCAGCCCCTCTCTGGCACTGCTTTGCCAGCCACGCAGGTTCTTGTCCCTTCCTCGGTCTCCACCAATGCAGAGTACCAGACGGGATCACATCGATCACAGGCTCAGGCGTCGCAGGGCACCTCAGGCCCTGTCTATGTCTGGACCTACACTGTGGTTCAGCCACAACATGGGTCCTCCCAACAGCCAGCACAACAGCTGTCTCTCATCCCACAGCAAAATCCTCAGCAGGGTGTGACACAGCAGTCCCAGCAGCTGTCAGTGATTCATCCTCAGTCGGGTCAGCAGGGCACTTCCCAGGAACAAATCACTGTTGTGCATCAGCAGCCAGTACACCAGGGAGCAGCTCAGCAGATAGCTGTTGTCCACCAACCTGCAGGACAACAGGCAGCCAACCAGCAGACACAGCAGCTCTCTGTGATTCACCCACAGACCTCCCAGCACGCACCTGTGCATCCTTCCCATGTGGTCCCTCACCAACAGCAGGCACGAAGAACCTCACAGGAACAGCAGGCTCAGCATGTCACCCTCATCCAGCAACAAGCAGGCCTCCCTCAAGCCCAACCACTCACCCTGGTCCACCAGCAACCCACCACCCAGACCTCCCAGCAGATCAGTGTAGTGCATCAACCCCAGACGTCACAGCAGCTCAGCATAGTTCATCAGCACCAGACGTCCCAGGCAGCAGCAAGCCTGGTGCACCAGCAGCCCAACCAGTCACAGGGAACGCAGCACCAGACTGAGTCTTCACAGTCGCAGAGTCCATCCTCAGAGCTCAGAGTTACACCCAATCATTGGTATGTCTGGTTGTAAAAGATTGCATGAGTTATATTCAGTGCGGATTCATCATTAAGTGCACTTTAGTGCATTTTGCATGATAATTATGAAATTATTTTGGAAGAAAATGCTCACATATCATATTATCTAATGATTTACCAGCATTAATGACCGTCATTTACTACACATATATGCAATTATACTCTATGACTGGCATTAAGTAGAAGAAAATGCTCACATATCATATAGTCTAATGATTTACTAGCATTAATGACTGTCACATTATACGCTACTATAGGACAAAAGTTTGGACAGATAGCTTCTACTTATGCTAGGTATATTTAGTTATATCTCTAAGAATTAGTTGCTCTTAAATAATGTACATACAAGAAAGTAATGTAATCCAAATTAGAATGATTAAAAACTCATGGAATATGACTTCTGTTAAAAGGATAATCAGGACAATTATATTTAAAGTTAGATATTATCCATCTCATAGTAAGTTTTCACTTTCTTATCTCAAGGTTTGCAGCCCCAAAATTTCAGGGTCAAGCACAGATTTTTTATGTATTATGAGCAGAAATGTTCTCACAATATCAAAGTATGTTTAGCAAATGTTTGTAGCTCAAGATTTTTTGCTGAAGTAGAATTAAAATTAGAATAATATAAGCTTTCCAATGCTATAATAAATCTATGATATGGTAAAAAAAAATGGCTCGCTGCTCAAGCAATATTGAAATATTCTGAAAATGGGTTGCCTCATATTTGATGAATTTCTAATGAAATTTTATATTTTATGAGCATTTTGTTTTTATTACTTCAAATCCTTTCCACACAAATTGCATTAGAATATTATGGAGGGTTACTTGTCACAGATTTTTTTTTACAGATTATGTTTCTGTTAAAAAGAGATGCATTTCAAGAGATAAATAGAATAATTTGACTTAAGAAAGGTCTAGAATAGTAAGGTTATATCCATGAAATAAGCAGCCTCTTCATTCTCTTACAGGACAGTGGTGAGGAAGGAGAAGCACATTCAATATGCGCGTATCCTCAGAACAGTAACGGAAGAGGCCTTCTGTGGGTGGACTTTAAATACTTCTGAAGTGGATATTTCCCCTTTCTTCATGTGGTATTTTTTTATTTTATTAGAAGTGCGTTATGGGATTAAGCATTTTATAGTTGTATTCTTTAAAAGTATAACAAAATATTGTTCGAAAGTCATATTGATAGCAGGTGTGTGTTTTAATTTCTTTTAGGTATTTTTTTCTAATCTTGAAACTGCTGTCTGTAACGTAAGTATATATTTGATTTTTTCTTCTTTGAAGATTCTTATTTACCTAAGTACATGTTCCATTTACAGATTTGAAAGAGATGTAATTCTGCGTACTACAAAGTACATTTTCATTTTCCTGGAATGTATTACTGTTTCTTCTTTGCTGAATGATAGTTGATATGATATAAATATATAACTTTTGTCATAGATTGAGATTTCTTAAGTTTTCTATATTTGATTGAGAGTGGGATTGAGACAAAATATAATTGTTGAAAAAATTGCCTATTGTCAAGGTCAAGATTCATCAAGAAAGCATAATAAAGAAAGGAAGACAGTGCAGATTTAATTTTAGTATCTTTGATGCTATGAATAATTTGGTAGGATTAGCCAGCTTGGTAGGCTCATAGATTACATATGATATATTTTTTTATTGATTAATCTTCTGTGGTTTATCAAAATACTTTTAAGTTTTGCTATAGATTAAATTGTGTCAATAATTTTTTGTGGCATAGGTCCTTACCCAGTGTTGCTTCCTATGTGACAGTACATGTGGCACAGTTTACTATTGGTCCAAGAGTGAAGGAGTCTCAGTCACAGGGAAAGTTGTCAGAACATTTTCACTAGAGCAGAGATAGAATTTGTCTACCTAATTATCAAAGGGGTGGCTGAGACAAGAGAGCTCCTAGTCATTTCATCCTCCTTGAGCCCTTGAGACTTACAGGCATTTAATTTTAACACCTGTGGGACTGACAGACCACCATCAGATCAGTAGGACATGAATGTCTACTGGCTTTCACATGCAGAACAGGCATGATTCACTTTGAGCAAATGTGCAGGAGTGTCTGTGCATTCCTCTAAAGAGGAATACACATTCTAAGCTGTAAGATGATGTAGTAGGGTGCCCAGTTCTTTTCCACCTTGTCTTTGACCTCCGTAGGCTGGTGTCAGTACTCGGTCACAGCACAGTTAGCTGAGAGGGGGCTGGCTGGATGTGAACCTGGGACCTTGTGATCCCAGTGTCAGGAATCTCCCATCTCCTTGATTGCAACTTTTCTGGATAGGATTTCATCCCATGGCTACAATGGTCAGAGTCCAGTTAATTAACCACAATATTATATATTTATGTGTGGAGACCATACAATTTACTAGTTCATTATATGAACCTTTTGAGAAATGTAAGAGATGTGGATCATTCTCCTTACAGACTGCTCAAAATCATACTAAGACTTTTTCCAATCAGTCATGATTTGTTTTTACAAATCTGCACTAATGAATTTCTCATTGGCAAACCATCTGAGCTAGAACAGTAAAAATCCACCTATAGAGGAGTCTAACTTCAATCTCTCCAGAGTTACCTGGGAAAGGAGATGAAGGGTAAGTTATAGTAATAGTTAATTGAAGGAAGACAGAAAAAAAGAAAAGAAAAAAGAAAGATTATATCTTACATGTGAAACATATGTCATCATAGAGGAAGTCAATGGTCAGCCATTGTCAATACTGGAGTGAAAATTGAATATGTTTCCTTCTCCATGTTCTATTAAGAGACAATGTCGCTACTTGCTCTTAAGTCATTGTGGCAATTTTGGCCAAATTGTCTCTGTCTGTGGGCTTTCTGCATGTGTCAGTAACTTTGTCTGTTATTTTTTATATATGTTTGTTTGTATGTGGTAGTGTTTGGAATAAACCACAGATATAGAAACACAACATTGCATGCTTCCCACAACTGCTTTGCTGTCAGAAGTTATTTCCATCTTGCTGGCCTCCAGTCTTCCAAGAATTCTCTTTGCCTTTTCCAAGAATTCTCTGCCTTTTGCAGCACCCGGAGGTTTCTATAAAATGCCATCTGTGTTGAAGTAGGATCAGATAGTGACTACTGACTGCGAAAATTTAGTTGATTTCACTTGTACTCATGCTCCAATATCTGCAACAAAAACTGGTTTCTTCTGTAGTTTTTGGTGTTTTTCTGGAGTTTATAGGGACTCGTCACCTGAGGAAATACTGTTCTTTAAGATGGTCTTTGATCCTCGTGGCTCTAGTTTTGGGAGCGTGAATTATCTGAGCCGCAACAAATAGTAAAGTTATATAAAAATGAAATAAAGTT